ATGTAGCAGTACACTCCGCTGCTATGTTATACGCGTACTGTTCCACTAAATCCATGGCATGCTTATATTGCTGAGCACAAGTCACCAAATACCCTTATATAACAATACATCAAGTTTGGCAACCGACAACCTCTGGAAATTTTATCAGCAAAAATTTCATGTTTTCTTCCAAGTCACAGCTAAAAATATTGAACATTAGGCTAAGAAAAAACTTAAAGTGTTACTGCAATTAACAAGCCCATTTTCTGATACCACCAGAAATAACTAATATTTACAGCATAATTACTGATATTTTACTATGGCATTTTTTATTAGAGTGATAACAGATTAAATGTGTTTTGGGGCTAAAAGTTAAGATACTACTGAGCTGACAGGTAATCTGTACAAATGTGAGATTAGTTTAGCGTGAAGAAATATATATTTATTTATTAAAAAGAGACCTAGCTTGAAGCTCTGCTGGCTGACAGAAGTCATATTTATGTCATTTAGTTTTTTGCATTCTACCTCTGTATCTGCTATTTTTCTCTCCCTAGAATCAATCTGGGCAGTTAGTCTAACACTTGGGTGCATTTTTATATTCTTGGCATTTCCCTAGAGTGCTATTCAAAACTACAAGCCCTCCTCTAAAGAACTTCTGGGACAACTTTTTAAAACTACTGGTACAAGTTATCCACTTTGATGAGTAGGGAATGAAACATATTTAACATTCTTCTGTGTTAAAATACATTTCTTATTTTATGAGTTTCTTTTATTTTAAACAAAACATGCAAATTTAGTCTTAAATGCAGAGCAAATGTCTATAACCACACGGAGGCCACATAGACTCTTCTATCTTTAATGCCTACCTTTGAAAGATACTACAATGTGAAAAGAACAGAAGAGATCAGGCTGCTTGTGTCTAAAAGTGATATGTATGTATATATTTTTAATCAATTTTAAAACAATTCTAAAACATTTTTCTAAGAAAAATCTGTGGGGTTTGTTACATTTAACAGCTTTTACCTATAAATAGGTAACTGCTTTGCCCTGCAGAAGAACAGAAGTCATCTTGCTAAATCTGGTTTGGCAGCAAATCCATTCTTCTGAGTCCTCTGCGAGACTATCTGGTCTCTCAGTCTAGTTCCTCATGAACGGCTGTCTACATAACAGAATCAATGTGCTACCTGGCACCATTGCTGGCAAGTACGGCCAACAACTAACAGAGCTTGGCAACTGAATTGCTCTCTCACCCTCCAAAAAAGCTTCAAAATTCAGAAATAAAGCACAGAGTTTGGGGAACAGTAGGGAAACCTCACTAACATAATTACTGCTATAATTTTGTCTACTTGTCAAGTAGAAGCAGGATTTTAACCTTTTGGCATGTCTGTTTAGAGCCCTTCGTAGAGACAGCTTAGAACATATTTACAGAAGTTGATAAGCACTTGATCTTACAGTCTTTTCCAACAGGAATGGCACGGAGTTTAATTTGGGGGACTACAAAGCCGCTGCATAACTAGAATAAAATTCAGAAAAACTAGTCTGCGCCTCCAGCACCAAGTGACCCACGCTGACTGTTTATATATTTCGACGTTATACAGAAGATCGCTTACTGTTTAGCGGTACGCAATCATACCACCTGCTGCCAACAGCACTATTCAATGTGAGGATCTCAGTTCACTGGTACCACCACCAAGTAACACTAAGCACGTAAGAAAAGCCTCAGCCAAATCACAAAAGATGCAGTTTTAAACCAAGTGAGGAGACAGAGGAGGAGAAATTTCCTAGATTAAGTGAACCAGAGAGATATTTTAATCAGAACACAAAAGAAGGTTGAAACAAACACCAACTGACTCGGATCATATCGCATCAATAATCCATGCACAGAGCCTCTGCTGAAATCAATGGGAGGCTTGTGCGTAAGTGGATTGTATAATATAAATGCATGCTCCTATTTAGGGCTCCACATACAAAAGAGAAAGCGGTACTAAGAACAATTCCCTTAATTAACATTTCTCTTCCATCAAGTGCTTCTAAAATAATAAATCCTAACTTCACATAGCTCTGTTTTCATTCACAGTTTTTAGCAGAGGTGGTAAAACAACCGACCCCATTTGACAAATAAGGGAACTGAAGCACAGGATGCAAATTAAACTGAAGAGCAGGGCAGCAGGCAGAACTGAACTGGGAATAGCAGTTTACCTTCTGAATCACAGTTTAATGTCCTAGATATTTAGATGCTTATCTAGCTCAAGTCTCTAATTAGGGTGATTCTGTGCAGTCCTCAAATAATTTTGCATACTTCCTAAAGTACCTGTGCACAGCGATATGCTTATCTCTATGAGTTTCCCACTCAATAATGTCAATTTTTTTTGAGGACTGCAAATGTCCTACAGAGGTTCAAAACACTGGACTGCCCTGGTCAGACTCCCCTGGTACCCCACCAGTCCCACCACTCAGTGGCACCAAAGGATTTTAAAACTGGCTGTCAAATCCACACTTTCCACATGCTTTCTATTGTTTAAAAAAAAGAAAAATTACTTTCAATTCAAAATACCAATTCATTAGCTGGAAATGACCTAACTAATCCTGGTGTTCCAAATTGACAGTGGTCCATAAGAAAAAGCCAGGCTGGATCTCTATTCAAGAAGAAAGAGCAACACTCACAAGAAGCCAGTGTAAAACGTCAAACACACCGATTGCAAAAAAAATTTCCAGTCTCGTTACTCTACAATTTGTTGAAGCCAAGTAAGGAGGAACATAAACTATACTGTAATTTGACCCCCAAAAAGCAACATGTTTATTAATGTGATATGAAGTTATAAATAAAAGAATAGTTTCACTTGCACGCTAGCTGAAAATCTGACTTCACCCATAGAACCAGCCTTTAGCTAAATATAGACCGTCTCCTCCCGAGGTCCTGAGTATTCTTTCTCCCATGAAAATCCAACCTTGAAATGCTTAACACCTTATGAAAGATGGATTCAGCAATACATCCACTTTCTAGTTTACATCTTGCATGTGATTAAGTACTACATTACACAGGGTTAGTGCCAATAACAAGCATGTTCATTTCCCTTAACTACAAATGCAAGTCCATAATACTGCGAAAATAACATATTTTAAATCAAATGAGCTTTCTGCTCTTTCCAACTGCAGTGTTCAACTGTTCTGAATAATAACTTTTCAGGACTGGCCTGTTTTGCCTTTTGTTTTCCTTTTTCAGATTTTTTTTTTTTAAAGTTAAGTCTATCACTGACAAAATGAGCAGGTGAAGTGCCTGCTGAGAAATGGCCACATTTCCAGACGGCTGCTTGAAGAATTATTTTTCTGATTCATCACAGCTTTTTTTTTTTCAAGTTGTCAAAACAAACACCACACCCACTTGATTTCCGAGTTCTGAGTAATTATATTTAGAATTACCAAGCACCGTGCAACTATTAATCATACAAGGTTTAGCCCTTACTTTACCTATTTAGAAATAAGCCAATGCATTCAAATGGAGTCTGTTTAGCATTTTATTTAAGAGATATCCTCATCACTTCATTCTGTACCACCACCACCAACACAGTCACAGAAAATATAGGGCAGTCCATTCAGTCAATCCCTCTGCCCCAAGGCAGGATCTGCTACTCCTCAGCCACCGCAGCCACCATTATCGCTGATGATACACAAGAACTAGTTATTTCAGGCAGCAGCTTTATACACGCACTCACAAAACACATTATAAATTAAAGGAGGAATGCGTGTTTCAAGTCTGCAGTGCCTTAAACTGGGACGGTGCGCAAGCCAGTCTAGGAAAGATAAAAATTAAAAATAAAAGCTCCCCCAAGATGCGAGTCCGGATTTTCTAAAAGTAGTATCTGGCAACATTAACGCCGCTGCCTTTAGAAACAGTTCACCTTGTTTAAACTGGATGAACCACCCCGTGATTATCACCGAGCCTCCATTAAGATGACACACACAAACAGAGCCCTCGCAGAGCTTAATTATTCTTTTCACTGCTCGTACACTGCAAGACACATACTTTTTTCTTTTCTTTTCCCTTCCCTTCCCTTCCCCTCTCCCCGGCAGACGAGCAGCTGCACGCAGGGAGCGCAGCGGTCACGGGGCTGTCACCGCGGCGGGGGGACGGGGACCCGTCGCCTGCCCTGCCGCCCCCTTTTGTGCCCGAACCCCGCCGAGCCGGCGCGAACTCGCGTCACCCCCACCCCCGCCTGACCCTTGCCGGGCGCGGGGCCTCTAGTGTGGGCGCCGGGGAAAGGGCCAGCCCCGGCCGCCGGCCGC